ATTCAGGAGTCAGATGATTCTTTATGTCTTAGTAAGAATAAAAGCTTATAATCAGAAGATGGAGTAAGACAGTGCAAGTAAGACAGGTAGGATTGTTCAGAAACTTTGTAAGCTCATAGGAGATAATTTATTGCAGAAACAGGTATTTTTATTAGTCTGGAGAGAGTAATTCTCTTGCACTGGATAAGAACCATAGAAGTAGCACCTGCTGAATGCTGTATGTTTTAAGTTGATAGACATTTCTAGTACAAGGATTTAAGCTAAGGAGGTTGTGATCTGTATTAGATTTTTGGGCTTGCTGCTTTTTTGTAGAGGATATTTTATTTATGACACAATAGTTACTATATTGTAACCTCTCAATCATCGATTTCCAGATCTTGAGTTTAAATGAAGTTATTTAAGAAGTTATTTATTAGATAGAGCAGGTTTTAAAGTTTTATTTGCCTTTCAAACGTTAGCTGGTTGCCTTTGGGGAAAATCATGTAGCAACAGGTCACATGAAAACAACATCTTTGGAGTGTGTAAAGTCTCTTTTGGTGGTAGATACCATTTCTCCATGCCTTACTGATAGCTGTTTGTAGGATTTTCCAATTCTCACTTCTCCAAATTGAGATACATTCATCAAAATGTGCATTTCCTGCTTTTTTATAAAGCAAATTAGCCATTTGCTTATTGCATTTTTCCCTCTGATTTAAGAGAATTAAAATAACCAGGATCCCACAGTTTCTGACACCAGGTGAGCAGAGCAGAGTTCCTGAAGCACTGAGTGGCAGAGCTCATGGTATTAACCCCGCCTGGTTTCTGTTGTCATAGTGAGTTTGGAAACATAAAGTCAAATTTAAGTACTTCCCTGGTACCATCCTGCCATATCATTGCTACTCTTACTACAGAGATGATGTGAATTGTAAATGAGGAATTTCTGTGGAACAGATTCTTTCTCATGGCATCATCTCTGCTATGAAAATTGTAAATCTCTACAATTTATAGCAATATAGGACCTGAAAAATTCCTTCTAGAGGTGCTTAAACCTTACTGTATCTTCCCACTGGAGGGTGGAGATGGACTAAGAAACATTACGTACCTTTAAAAACCTGAAAGGTATGTAGTTAGCTACAGAAATGGTTTTGTTTCTTGATGTGGAAATGGAGGTCTGTGGAAAGGATTGGAAGAGACACCAACACTCCATAGAATTTCAGAGTGCAGTGCTGGAAAAGAGCACTTGTGAGTCTCCCATGTTGTAGATACACAGCCTCAATCTACCTACCATGTATGGTAAGTAGAGTTAAGTTACTGAACACTCTTCCGTTGCTTATGGATGGAAGAGAGAAAGTTTGGTTCACATGGAAGAGCAAAGCAAAGGATGTTGTTGCATTTATGCTGGAATATTGCTTCAGAACCCAGTGGATTCCTTTGTGCTCTTTTCCTCAAAGCCTTAGTTTTTACAGGATTCTTTTGAGATCAGAAGTTAACACCTTGATGTGACATTTGGTTTGCAGTTACTTGCTTACAGCATTCACTGTATAAAGTCTTCCAAGGTCTGGGTGTCTTTGTATGCTGTGGAAACTGTTACATAGGCTAACTGGGTAGGTAGTTGCAGTGTGGAGTTTAGCAACACTTGACTCTGTACATTTTAGTTAGTGGTATCTCAGCCGTAATGCTTGGTGTTGGGAATTGTTTCCAGTTGTAAGTAGCAAGGGCAGGTTCAGAGGATACTGTGTTCATTGCATGGATTGAAACTGTGTAAACTTGAGGTTTACACTCTATACATTCCTCTTACACTTTGGAACAATAGGAGAATCAGTTTTCACATCTGCCCTGGTCTTACAAGAATTAGTTTTGCACTAAATCCGTCAGATATGTGACTTTATGGCAGTTGAGGGCATCAGACAAATACCTACTGAATTGCAAAGGACTTCTGCAGTTCTCAAATTGTACTCTCTCCGATTTCACTTGTGGAACTATGTTACCATGCTCCATGCAAGGAGATTGTGTGGAGAACTCAGAGAAAAGTGGTGTTTGTATTCCAGACCGCAGCTGGTGATTTATTGTGGACCAAGATCCGGTTTCTTCTAATCAGGGTGCATCTGCTGTTCATGAGCAGCTCAGAGGGGGAGCCATACAGCCGCTTTACATGGGCGAGGAACTCAAGATCCTTAATGTCATGTGAGAGCTGATAACCCTCTCTCAGTCACTGGACACAGAAGCTGCATTTTGTAAACTAATCCTTTGACCCACAGGACTTCACTGAGAATGCCTGCAGCAGCTGTGATTGAATCTGTTTCAGTGGTAGTAGGACACTGCACACAACTGGGTACTTCCTTCTACAGTATTATGCACACAGGGGCACTTTTGTTACTACTGTTACCTATGGTAGCTTTCCAAACTATTCCGTCACCTGTAATGATGCAATTTCTGATGAGATTTTCTTAAAACACCTTTCATTGGATGCTATAACCACTGGAAATGTTTTTATACTCACATGGTTTCTTTTCATGTACCACTAAAATAAATCCTGGCAGTGAAGTGTTCTACATGGCCTCGACTGATTTGAGAATGAGCACGTTGGGTTGGGGAGGGGGGGGAGCATGAACTGGTGCATGGTGAGCTTTCTCCGTGGAACTTTGGTCATGTTTAATGCACCCGTACAACAGTATTCCAGTGTTTTAGAACGGAATTCTGGTTTGGATCAAGGGGGTTTGATATTTCCTTGTAAAAATGCTTAAACTGCTTTCTCAATTTTGAAGTCCAGATTCTTCTAATTTCACTTTTTCACAGTGAATATTTCACAATCTGGTTCGAGATGTCTTTATTCTTGTCTCTGTGAAAGATCTGCTACATCATACTTCATATTTCAAATTTTATACGTTATAATATACATTTGCTATCACATCATTTCCATCTAAGGGTAACTTGTGGTTCTGGGTAACCTGATCTAGTTGAAGCTGTCCCTGCTCATTGCAGAGGGGTTAGACTAGATGAGCTTTGAAGGTGCCTTCTAACCCAAACCATTCTATAATTCTATATGCCTACCAAGGAATGTTGTCCAGTATAGCCTTATTTGACTTCCATATATTTCTGATTCCTGGCTAGCTCAGGATGTGCAGGGTATCATTGCACATAGATAGTGCAGCTCTCTGTAAACAGGAAATACTTCCAAGATGTCTTGCGTGTTTGTTAGACCCTAAAAATACATTCAGATAAAGCCCATTGTTTCTACTGCTGCTTCCTTCTTTGCTCTTGGACACTGAGTGACACTCAGATGAACTTGTCTGAATTAATGTACTGCAGTGGAAAGGCCACTTGAGCAAAGCTTGAATTAGGTTTTCCTTGAGAGAGGAAGCCTTTTGAGAACTCTGCCTTACTGACAGTATTTCCGATGGCCCTTTTTGTCCTTGGATATAGGGACTTGTTACTTGAAAGGGATTGAAACGAAGCAAATTCTTCTGTAATAACAAGATACAAAAATCCTGGTACTCATCACTGCATGGTGTTATTTAACTTTATAACTCATGCATTAAGCAGGCAATATCCTAGTCTCCTTGTAGAGAGAGAGAATGGAAATGTTTTTGTAAATATGGAAGAAGTGTTTGAGGCCAGTTTTCTATGTGCACAGTCTTTAACTCTCTTTAGGCATAAATTCAAGCACTGAAGAGTTGTGTGGTGCACAGCAGTGCAGAGTGAGTTACTCTGTGTGACTAATTTGTTGAGCCAAGGCAATGGCAATCCCCACCCAATGGATCTGTACAGTGCACATTTAGTTCCACTGGAAACTGATCTATTTGGGAACTACCCTGAGTTTGTCTCTTTAATTGCTTCAACTTAAGAAACATCAGGTTTCTGTGCGTGCATCCCACTCCCTGTATTACAGTGGAGCTGTCATCTTCCCCTTACAAGGTCTCTGCAATTAAAAGAACATCTCCTATGTGCAATCAAGAAAGTAGGAAGAGAAGTCTGTGTGGGAGAGTCAAGCTCAGGTTGGAAGGATTCCTGGAAGACAACCTCAGAATGCAGACAAGTGAGAGGAAAGGCAGAGGTACAGGAAAATCCTGAAAATCAGAATTTGCTGGCACCACAAAGAGAAGAAAAACATGATAACAGGCATTTTAACCTGTGACCCTTTCTTGGAAACTGACAGTTATCAAATACCAGCCCCAGCAGGGAACGGTTCAGCATTGCTTATCAGACAGGAGCTTCACTGTAACTGCAGTTGGAAAGTGCCTCAGCAGAGTCCACACCCCGTTCCCATTCCCATCTTCTGTTTTGTTCTCTCACATTTTTCACCCTTTGTCTGCTTTCTTTATCCTTTCCTTTTTTCCCCTCTTGTTCTCACTTGTAACCCATTTTCAGAGAGATTTTCTTGCACGATTCTGGTCTCGTGAGTCACAGAATCAGTTCAATTAAACAGCTCTGGTGGTGTGGACTACTCCTCTTTGTCATTTCTCTGCATAGGAAGGGTAGATAAGAGGCTATCTCGCTCTATGTGTTGCTCCACGTTACTTAGAGTTGGGTGGGTTTGTTTGGGGAAGTGACAGTGATGGTTTCTTCAGATGTGATAAAATCTTTTTCAGTATTGGGAAGTGGTCAAGGAAATACTTATTGGACTGCAACCATCTTGTATGTAACAGCTAAGGGATGTTAAGAGTAATTCCAGGTACACAACATGGGACAGTGACAGTCCACCTCCTTTCAATTACAGAGCAGAGTGGTGTTCCCTGTATCAGTTCTGGAATGCCAGGGCTCCATCATAACTGGATGGCTTTTTTGACAAGCAGCATCTGGAACTGGTTTGTAGTAGAGTTAAAACTCAAACGTGGCTATTCCAAGAAGATAGAAGGCATTGTATCCTCACAGCAGGTCTTAAAATACCTGACATTTAGCCTGATCACAAGCAGTACATCTTCATCTGTTGAGGGTCTGCAAAGGGAGGGTGGTAGGATTACATACTGCATGAATGGATGACATGTCTTACACCAGTGTTCACCACATTTCATATTCATAGTAGGAATCTTTGTACAGCAAAGTACAAGTTAATTTCCTTTGCCATGATCAAAGATTCACTTAATAATGATTTAGTTCTACAGCAATTTGAGGAACTTCCTGTCCTTACCATGGGAGCAATCAGTATTTTCCATTGCTCTGTCTCTAAACCAAGGATCTGGGGGGCTGAGAGGAAGAATCTTCTACATAAAATGTCTTGGTAGATGTGTAAAGTCTGACATATGATTGTTTCGTGCTAACACCTCTGAACCAGCATCCGGACTTTTCTAAGCCCATTGGGACTAAAGTGGAACATCAACACTTTGCGGCAATAAACACGAACATAAATTCAGGCTTCTTGGAACTGTCTCAACACATTGTAACCCATGGAAGCTAGTCTTGAACTCAATTGTTGTTTCAACTCACACCTACACTTGGTATAAATACAGAGGTTCGTCTCTTCCTCTCGCAACAGGGCTCTGAACCCAAGATTGCAGTTGGTTGAGGTCTTCTCCCAGGCTACTCGGGTGCTCCTGCGCTTTGAAACCAGAACTATCCATAAAGAATAGAGAGATGCACTAACTTCCCTGGGAAAAATGGAGCTGCAAATTGAACTTATTCCTACAGGAGAAATCATCCGTGTGGTTAGTCGCAATGGAGGATGCAAGACTGTAAGCCTGTTTTCTTTATTGTCTTTTTGACCTTCTCATGGTGGTGGTTATCCGATAACCAGCTTGGTCCCTCCTGTTCTGAACTAAGGGATGTTGGCACAAAAATGTGCAGGTTCTGTGACACTGGCTGTCATTGGGGTGCCTGTTGCTGTGTTGTGAACAGTTTTCTCTTGCTAGGATGAAATGTGTAGCCATGAATATTCATGTTGAGTGACTGGAAGTGTAGAAAATGATTAAAAAGTGTTTCCTATAGAAATGCTTGAGTATACCAGAGTTGCAATCAGTGTTTGGTCTGGCCATATTCATTCTATTGGAATTCTGGAAGCACTTTCCAACTACAGAGGAAGGGAAAGAGCTTTGAAGAGTGTTTTGATCCTCTTCAGTATTGATTGTCCATGCTGCCACTGGGTTCGTGCCCTGAATGTGATAGGAAGGTTCACACATCAGGAATTCAGTGGTAGAGGAAGATATAAGTGGAGTGTTACTGATGGTTTGGGTTGGAAGTTCCAGCCCCCTGCAGTGGGCAGGAACACCTTCCAATAGACCAGGTTTGTATGTGAGGGATGGAAAATCCCTGAGCTGATTATTTCTGGTTTGATGTGGTGGACATCAAGAGCTAGGTGCTTTTCTAAGGATAATTTCAGTTTTCAGTATTGAGAATGAATGGGAATCTGTGTGTTTTGCTGCAGGATGTTCTCTAACTGCATTTGTGTCCTTTTTAAAGGAGTTTAAAGAGAAGGAACTGCACAGAGGCGCTTTAAAAACATCCCTAAGTGAAACCTGGAATTTATATCTCTTTGTAATAGGTACTTAGAAACTGTCATAGAGTTCGGTTGTAGCTGCAGGTTGTGGTGGGCAGAGGCACTTCTTGCACCTCTATGTGTGTTGCTCCAGTTTCCTTATGTTGTCTTTCTAGTAAATAATGTGAAACTCCACCTGAAGGTTAGCAAGGACATTGACTGTGCAGGTGACAGTTGTTGGGTCGAGTCAGAGATACTCAGAACTGGAGAGAGGGATGATTCTGATCTTCTTTGGGTTTCAGTAACTGATCCAGGAATGTTACTGACTCACTTGTAAGAGGACACTGGTGGGACTGAGCTGTCTTTCCCAGAGAAAACTGTTCCTTTAAACAGTATCCGAACTAGTAAGTGCCAGCATCCTGGGAGACATCAGAGAGACGATGTATTAGTTCAGCTTTCTAAGAAGTTTCAGTTACTCATAAACACCCCATAAAACTCCAGTTTGCTGCTTTGAGCACAGCAGTGTGTGTTTGTCAAGTACTGCTGCTGTTGCAGGAATGGCCAGAGGAGGGAAGGGTCTGATGTGCTGGGCACAAACAGAAGCTTGTGGTTGACAATACTTCAAACTGCTGCACGAGTGGCAAGCGCAGAGCTGCATTGTTGCAGCTCAGCGTGCTTCAAGCCGTTGGAATTCAATGCGTGCAGAATTCCCTGTGGATCCTGCACTGCCTCCGCTATCCCACACATGGGTGAGATGAACCGGGCTGCCTGTTGCCGCTTGGAGAAGCCAGAGACCTGAACTTGCGGAGCATTCTGTGCCTCCGGGGAGTCACTGCAGAGTGACCTTCACATAAGCACACCCTGCTGCTGATTCCCGCAGCCAGGAGGGAAGCACCATCAGCGTCCGCGGTCCGGCTGCAGGACACAGGTGCAGCAGCGGGGAACCCCACCCGCTTATCCGCAGGATGCGCTCCCGGGGGTCCCCGCTGCCCGCCCCGCGGGGCTGACGGCAGGTGAGGGCGGAGGCAGGGCCAGGGCCGCGGCCGCGCCGCCCGCGCTCACTCCGCATGCCCGGCGCTCGGACATGCTCACTAGCGGCACGGCGCGGCGCGGGCTCCCGTGGGCAGTCACCGCCGAGGCGCTGGCGGAGCCGCCGCAGGGCCCCGAGCAGCGCGTCCCGGAGGGGGGCGCGGAGCCGAGGTGAGCGCGGTGCGGTGCGGAGCGGAGGGACGGGAGCCGGGAGCGGGGACCGGGGCCGCACATCCGCGCCCCCTGAGCGCGCTGGGGAGCGCAGGGGATCGGGCACATGGCCGCGGGTCGGGGGCTGCGCCCGGAGGGGGGGAGCCGGGGAGGTACCGGCTGGCGCCCTGGGGAAGGGAGGGAGGACGGACACATAGAGGCAGACGGACGGACAGAGACAGCCGCGGCTTGGCCGTGCCCCCGAAGTCGGCGACCTTCCCGGAAACTCTAACGTTTCCACGGTAGAAACAAATGAGCCTTTGAGAGCAGCCGGCATCCCGCTCCCTGCCCTCCCCTTCCGTAGCGTTACTGAAACGCGCTCCGGTAACGCTTCCCTCACGGGATCCCAAACGCTCCTGCCTGGGACCGGGTGAGCCCTGCCGAGGCAGGAGGAAGGTTGGAGCGGAGACGGGGCCGTGTCGCTGCCGGTGTGCTCGGGAGGACCTGCCCGGTTCTCCTAAAGAAATGCTTTCTGTCCATACCGAACTTGTTTTTCGTGCTGCTGTGTGTTTATGAGCGGTATGATAGTGCTTCATACTAGAACAATTCTGCCTTTACATACGCTGGAATAGTTCTTCCTCATTTGCTAGTGCGTGCACAGGTGCCTAAAAGCACTTTGTGAAGAAAGCTCCTTGTTCTTAGTCTTCTCATAGGTGTTGAACGCTGTAACTTCTCCAGCTTAGACCCCAGGTCTGCACCCCACTTACACTCCAGGGTCCTCATCTGTTGTGCTCCTTTCTATGCCACTTTTCCCCTTATCGTAATATACCTTAGCGCTTAATTGGTTTAAGTGACAGGGATCTGTGGAAGGAATGAGGCTCTGGGCTGAATGAATGTCTCATTCTAGTAACTTGAACGTTCCACGTAAGCTGGCTTGATCTGCATCTCATGCTTGGGAGGGTTACAGAAGGAAAGTGGTTGTGAGATGCAATACAGAGATTATTGTGGTCTTTATGCCTTCTGTGGCGGTTGCTAGAGGTGGAAAGCTTCTCTGCAACAACTTGTAGGTGGCAGCTGCCTGGTTTCAGGGTTTTAGATAGTGACACATGAGTAAATGTGCTTGGTTGGTGGGACAAGCTGTGAAAACAGCACCACATCTTAGAGTAAGTGGGAAGAAAAGTGTTAGTCTTTCATCTCTTTTTGGAGCAATAGACAATTACCAGTTGTCAGCACCTTTTCAAAACTACTTAAGGTCTGCAGAACTTAAGAGTTCTTAAGTTTTAAGTAAGCCCTGATATGGCAACCACTGTCATAACACCGGGGGATTTTCAGTGATGATGCTGGGTGTAATCCCGTGTTGTAGGGAGGGGCTGTGTAAATATAAATCTCTTCTATTGTGCCTGGCAGGGACCAGTGGAGTGCTGGGCTGTGCTCGTTTGTCCTGATTTATCATGGTATGAAGGGTGGATAGGTGTAGATGCCTTTATGCAGAGATGAGATGGTTTTAGCCGTGTTCCAGTTGTATTCAGACATTTGGGATTTTCCTGGTGTTTGTAGTGTCGTGTTCTTATGAGACTCAGCTTTGCTGTGCTGGGAATTGCTTTCTAGGAAGTGTACAAATGCATTTATCATTAACAAAATAGACAGTCTGCACCAAATGCAGGAGAAACCAACTGCAGCAGCTGGTCACAGTCACAGAGCAACATCTGAACTGCATCTCCCGTGTGCTTCAGTCCATTCCCTGCTCCCTCAGCCGAGTGCTCTTTACCTGGCAGTTCTGAATAGTTCCAGCATGGAAAATGTTGAGGATCACTGAGCTGGAGCACTTTGCCTCCCAGGTTGGAGGAGGTATGGGTGAGGGATGTTCACAGTGTGCTTTCAAATAACTAATGCCTTCTGTAGGACAAATTCACACTTGGGTTACTGGTACTGCAGAAAAGGAGGTGCAGAAAACGCTAAGTGCAGTGTGTTTTCCTAGGGATGGTGTGTCCTACTGCCCTGTGTAAGTGATGCAAGTGGAACTAAATCACTTGTCCCTTCATACAAGCCAAAGAACCATTTGTAAAGGCTTATTGGTGTGTTCCTAAAACGTTGCTGTGGGGAAAACCATTTGTATTGTGCTTTGGCTTACCTGTATCAATGACAGCCAGATGTGGTTCACTTCTCAGAACTGATCCAAGTGGAAACAGAGCAGGCAAAACAAATAGGGAATTCCTCTGAAGCAGCTTATGGTGTAAGCACGTGAACATCTCTGCCTGCACAACGAATACAATGGCACAGGAAGAAATGGCTGGGATCAGGTGGGGATTGCCCTGGTGGTAGCAGCAAAGCTTTTTACTGGCGTAAAGTGATTGCAATTATAGCATGTTTGTCTTCCATTAGGGGTTTTACTGTGTTGCACACTGCTTTATAACCAGCTCCTGAGTGATGTGGTAGGCTTTCACTAGGACTACTACCCCTAACTTTGACAGAAACCCTGCACCTCACCTTCTGCCATCTTTTCTGGGGGATGAGGTTTGCAGGGTTGTCTTTGTGAGATTGTGGCAGTTCTTTTCCTGCCTGGAGGGAGCCACTTGGACTGATGGAATGATTTCCCTACTGGAGATTATCTTGTGCCCTCCTCTGCATACCTTACTCCTTGTTGATGCAGCAGCAGGGTAAGGTTGGCCAGCTCTTCCCAGAAAGCATTAATGAGGATGTAAGCAAGCAATGTGGGTAGATTTGAAAGGCTAAGTACCATTTGTAATGACAGAAGGTTCTGAGTGGACAAATCTCAAGTCATTTGTTGCAACTGAGTCATGTTCTGTGGGGGTGGCAGGTATGGTAGTCTTTAAAGCCCTGCCCTGTGTTACTTAAATGCTCTTCAGGGAGCAGCAGGGCCAGTACCTTGTCTGTTAATATATATCTTCAGTGTAGTCTGGCCTATATTAAATCTCTGTACTGGAAGGCAGTAAAGCTTAGTATTTAGAACTCCTGGGACACTCATGCATGCATGGCTGGCTCTTCCTGGCAGCTGTTTAGGAAAGTACTTGGTCACATGCGGGGACAGGACAAGGGGAATGGCTTTAACCTGCCAGAGGG